TTGGTAGTTGGAGGAGGAGGAAGAGGATGAGGAGGAGGGGGAGGGAAGGTAGGAGAGAAAATGATCAAAGGTACAGTTTTAAAAGCAGAGAGGAAGTGTATGAGTCCCAGGGATTTCAGGACAGAAATCTAGAGAGTAGAATTTAAGGAAATAAATGCAGTGCAACAAAAGTGTTGAAACTGTTCTAACTGATATAAAACTATTGAGACTGTTGTTCAGTACTTGTTGGCTATTCCTTCCTTTGGCCATGATTTGCTTGCTGCTTATTGTATGGCTCTGGATTCACATATATTTGAGAACACAGTAGTGCCTCACTGTAATGGACTGTCTGGAGAACAGCCAAATGCTGTGTTATGTAGTTGCCCATGTTTGATTCATTTGCTGTGGAAGGTAATGAATCAGGTAGAATGTATTTTCTGTTATAGCATTTACACTGTCAGGCAGTGGTATAAATCAACATACAAAGTTATGTTTTGCTGTGTTATATTTGGTGCTCTTATTACCTTTTAACAAGTCTATATATTTAAAAAATGTGTTGTAAAGGAAAATATTGGCGTGTTGATGAATCTCCCTAACATATTTTTGCTACAGTCTGAATTGGAATGCGAGGTGTTTCCCATTCCCACCAAAGTAAAGCATTTTGCATGACTAATATTGCTTCTCAATCAAGAATGCCAAGTAATTCTAGACTTTTCTGTTGTTGCTTCTACTGGTAACAAACAGGAGGCTGAGAGGGAAGCCATAACTCACTGAATCGATCAACACTGAGATTGAGTTGGTGAGTCTGGCCAGTCAGACAGTAATTCATTCTTTTGTTCCTGTGCACATTTGTTATCTGAAGAGAATCAAAGAAACATAGGGGTGAATGCAAAGTTCAATATGACAGTTATCACATAATCAGAAATTCCAACCGCCCATATCTCAGTTGATGTCTAGCTATGGTAAATATCCCTGATTTTCATCAAAATGTTTGGGCACAAAGCTACCTGCACCGACAATAATTATCACATACAATGTTACAATATTCACCCCCATATGTGTAGGAACTCTTCAAATGCCTTGGATTATTTTATATTTGTGAATAAGATTAGCATTGCAATCTGATTTACAATTATTTTCCCTTTTACTCAAGTAGTCCCATAAGAACATATATAAGTATATATTAATTTCACATCTTCCATTATAGTTATAATGGATGTACATAGTACAGATTATTTAATTAAGTGAGCAGTTTTAAGAAAGATCTGGTTGTAAAAAAACATCTATGTCATTATTGACATTACCATAAAATTTGTTAATTCAAGCAAGGAGATTAATAGGAAAATGGAAGATTTACAAAGTTGATAGTGAGAAGGGAGATGTTCATCATCAGCTTGATAACGGGACTAACCAGATTTAAAAAAAAGAGGAGCCAAGAGAGACGAATACAAGATAACAACACATAAAACCAAAAACATCTTCTGATATTGGGGTCTAATTTTCGATATAATTCATAGAACTTTTAGTAAAGAAACTTATTTCTGAAGTAGATATGTAACATATGTGATATGTCTCTGGTTACCAAAAGGAATATTCACTCAGATTTGGTATTTACGAAATTCAGTAAGGAACACTGGAAATTAGACTCCATTATAATTGCAAGGGAATAGTTAGGGAGGAAATGAAAACCTTAAGGGACCTTAATGGAGAACAAAATAAGAATGAACAGGAGATAATAAACATATTAGAGGAAAATTGTTAGAGTTTTTGAAGGATGTGTATTAACTATATGGGGGCATTACTTAATATGCCTTACAACATCCAACATATGTTGCATAACATTCAATACTTTGAACTTAAAGAGGCAGAGGTTCACTATAGACTTAATAAGCTAAAAATCAATGATCCTTTGGGACAGATAAATCACACCATATGGTACTTAGAGAGACAGATTAAGAGATTTGTAAAGAAGCTTTGACAGATATTTTGAGAGAGTCAATCAATATTGGGGAGGATCAACAGATGTGAAATTAACAATTCCCATTTTCAAGAAAACTAACAGAGCCATAGACACGGCCACAGACCTGTTAACCCAAACTCAATAAGTGGAGTGAAAGGAATGAATTATCAGAAGCTAAACCAGGATAAGTCACCTTATGAAAATAACCGGATAAATGACAACAAACATAGTTTCAGAAAGAGCAGGTCAAGCTTGACTAACCGCATGGATTTTTTTTCTCAGGAGGCAACATCCCAAATTGTGAGTGAGTGAAAGAAAAGTAATACGATTTAATGTATCTAAACTTAAAGGTCTTTAATAAAATGCCACCCATTAACTACTTTCGAAATTATGGTGGAGATCAAGGATAAACATTGTCCAGACTAACGCTGCAGTGCAATAAGTAGAGGTGTTCACTTTAAACCAAATTTCAGATGGATGTTAAAAATCCATGACACACCAGTAAACTCCTGATAACTCAAACTTAACTTGTCGCCACCACTTAGGGCATCATGCTATCAATATCTCAGCCGCATTTAGTTATGTATTTATACACATGCCTACCTTGCCACACTGGATAACTCATCACTGGGTCCCTTTCCCTTAGAGTCACAAGTTATCAGGAGTTTACTGCATTTGAAAAGAGAAGGGAATGTCTCTGAGTGTTTAGCTAGCAATACTCCAAATTAATTGGACTTCCACTTCAATTAGATATTTCCTTTTAGAAGTGACCCTGTGTGGACTACTAAACTTAATGACAAATGTAGAATAAGCACCTAAATGTCGTTACTCCCTGCTCGCCAGACGTCCCAATCCTTCCCTCCACAAGATGCACATTATTCAGAATTCTGCAATTCATGTCCACTGATGCACTGAGCTCTGACACTCGCCTGCTCCATGTCCCCCACCCTGCCCACTCCATCATCGATGGTCAGGCCTTTAGCCTCTCTGCCTCCACTCTCTGGAACCCATCCCAGAGCCCTTCTGCCTTGCCCCCTCCATTGCCTGCGTCAAGGCCCACCTCAAGACCTTCCTCCATGCCTCTTGTCATTTTCCCATCTCCACCTCGCTGGCCTCCACCGCCATCTCCAACCCCCAGCTCGGATGCTAATCCTTCATTATCCAGTGCCTTGAGATGTCCTTCCCAGATGAACAACAACAACAACAACATTACATTTGTATAGCACCTTTCATGTCAGGAGGACATCACAAGGTGCTGGACAATCAGTGTTTCGGACCTGAGCTGGGGTTTGGGATCGGGGAGGGTGGAGGGCAGGGGGGAAGGAGGGTGATCGAAGACATGGTCAAAGAGGAGGATCTTGAGAAAGGTCTTGAAGGAGGCAAGGGAGGGGGCAAGGTGGAGCGGCTACAGGATGGAGTTTCAGAGGGTGGGGGAAGAGTGGCTGAAAACCTGCCCACCAATGGTCCTAGGCGAGGCAGGGGACATGAAGCAGGCTGGAACTCCACTGAGCGGAGGGAGCGGACAGGTTGGCAGGGGTTTAGGAGGTCACAGAGGTAGGGGCAAGCAAGGCTTTGAAGGTGAGGACCAGGATCTTGAACTGTATCCTCCCTGTATTGGAAGCCAGTGGAGTCGGGCGAGGATGGGGGTGACAGGGCCATGGAGCCTGGTGCGGGAGAGGACACAGGCTGCAGAGTTCTGGATGATCTGCAGCCTATGGAGGGAGGCATTTGGGAGGCCAACAAGCAGGGCATTATATGCAATTCATTGTTGTTGTAAATAGGAAGAAAACATTTTTTGACTTAAGTTTACATTTATTAATTAAATTATGACCATTTCTTTCAGTACTCCCTTCCTAGTTTGCAAATAACACAACTAAAGAGATACATAATACATTATCTTTTTCGCTTGGGCTAGAATTATTCCTATTTATGCTTACTTTTCAGTAAACCCAGTTTGAGCTTTCTTGCTCTCTCCAGATCTCTAGTCATCGAAAAAAATTAGGACTATCATTGGTGCCCTGTTGCATTCCTATTACCATTATATCATTATGTAATAATAATAATAATAATCCTGGCATTTGATATAGCGCTTTTCACGTCGGGAGGACGTCCCAAAGCGCTTCACAGAACACATTGTAAAGTGAATTGACTATATTTTTTGTGGGCGAACGCGGCTGCCAATTGCGCACACCAATGTCCCACAAACAGTCGTAGATTGAAAATGACCAATTTATTATTGTTTTTTGTTTTGGAGAGATTATTATTAGGTGTGTGGAGTAAGGAAACTTGCCCAAGGTTTCGCCCTCTGCCTGGAATTGAACTCAGGTCTCTCGCTTGCAAAGCGAGTGCTCTAACCACTGAGCTACAGGACTCCACTGTAAATAGAGTGATTACATAATAGTGTATGATATGCCTCATATTTGCTCTATAATCTTTATAAGAATGGCAATATTCACTTCTTCTTTAAACTACATATATATATATTTTGGTCAGCTCTATCATAATAAACTATAATAATATCTCAACTACAATAATAATTTGATCACTCAATCCACAACTGTTTGTCAAACATTGCTGTGCAAAATAAGCTGCTACGTTTCACTCACAAAATATACAATTCACTTTACAGTAAATTCTGTGAAGCACTTTGAGACGTCTCGACAACGTGATAAGGCACTATATCAAATGCAAGGATTATTATTATTATATTCAATGGATGATGAAGGAAGGATTAATATAGGAATTAAATTGAAGGTTAACTATATTTGGTGGAATTGTGATTTTGGGGCTGTGAGTCTTGTCCACATAATATCACTATTATGCAAGAAACATGGTTATTACAGTGCTGATCAAAGGTCATACCCATTCTGATGAAGAGCCTGAACTGAAATATTAAACTATCTTACTTTTTCAGATGCTGGTTGACCTGTTTTGCATTTCATCATTTTCTATTTTTATTGCAGATATCTAGCATCCTTGTTTTTTGTTTCTTATTTCTTTTTATTTCTGGTTCTCAAACAGCACTGCAGCTCACCTGAGAGACATCAAAGGCTCGACTCAACATTACCATAAAGCTAATGGATTTATAATCAAATGCAGAATATAATCTTTATATAGGCACAGATGACTGGGTAGGTAAACCCAACTTTCAGAATTATAGTGGCACATGCTAAATAATGTTTCATTTCATATTCAAAATATTCTGAAGTATTCAAACAATACTAAGTGTAGTGATGGTCATTAAGCCACAAATGTGGCAGCTGTCCATTGACCGTGCTTATGGTCACCTCTTCCTTCCCCCCCAGCACGGCGTCAGGCTCTACCATTGTTAAGCATTCCGATACCCTGCCCCGTGTGAAGGGCACTATATAAATGCAAGTTGTTGTTCTTGATAGAAAGTGACTATTGTTAGTAACAGTAAAGCAGGCAACAAGAAATATTAGCACTGAGCATTCTTGGTCTCTCCAAATAAATGTGCTTGTCCAGGCAGTCAGATCCCCTCTCGGGTCCCTCCATTTACTAGCTTGAACCACTTTTTTACTGAGTGAACTCAACATATCTGATATGACCACATAAATCATTACAGTCTGGGTTCTTTACTGACTCGAAAAGCAATGTCTAATCCTGAGCTTTACACAATCAAAAGATTAAAAAAATGTTTACTCCCACTTCTGCATATAATGTTTGCATAGAAAAACAATGAATTAAGGCTGGGTGAGAAAAAGAGAAATTAAACTCACATCTCAGAGTACCCTAAAACACAAAGCACGAATTCATTATGGACCAACCATGTACAATTGCATCAGAGGCCTGAAGTTCCATCTAATCTTATCTGAAAGACAATTTTTACTTAAAATTTAAGATCAGACAGAATTGTGGAAAATGTTTAACTCCAGTCTTAATTCAGAATGCTTAAAAAATAAATGGATTCATAGAATCATAGAATCGTACATCACCAAAAGAGGCCATTCGGCCCATCGAGTTTGTGCCGGCTCTTTGAAAAGAGCAATGTAATGTCAATCCCACTCCCCAGCCCTTTCCCCATAACCCTGCAGACCCATCCTCCTCAAATACCCATCCACAGCGTTTTTAAAAATTGTTATCGAATCGGCCTCCACCACCCTTTCAGGCAATGCGTTCCAGGTTCGAACAACGCGCTGTGTGAAAAAATTTCTTCTCACCTCCCCTCTGCTTCTTTTAGAGACTATTTTAAATCTGTGACTCGAGTCACCGACACACCTACCAGTAGAAACAGTTTTTCCCTTTCTAACCTATCAAATCCCCTCAAACTTGGAAATTGTACTTGCTATACCTAAGTCCAGATCATTTATGTATATTAAGAAGAGGAGTGGTCCTAATACCTCATGAATTTGAAGACCTCTATTAGATCTCCTCGTAACCTTCTCTGCTCCAATGAGAATAATCCGAGCCTCACTAGCCTTTCCTCATAATCAAGGTCCCACATTCCTGGTACCATTCGTGTAAATCTCCTCTGCACCCTTTCCAATGCCTTAACATCCTTCCTATAGTGTGGTGCCCAGAACTGGGCGCAGTTTCTAACTGAGGCCTAACCAGTGTTTTATATAGGTCAATCATAACCTCCTGACTCTTGTACTCTATGCCCCTATTTATAAAGTCTAGTATCCCATATGCCCTTTTTACAGCTTTATCTACCTGTCCTGCCACCTTCAAGGATTCATTTACCTGAACTCCCAGGTCTCTCTGTTCTTTTACCCCCCTTAAGATTGTATTACCAGCCTATATTGCCTCCCCTCATTCTTTCTGCCAAAATGCATTACCTCGCATTTCTCCACATTGAAATTCATCTGCCATGTGTCTGCCCATTTTACCATTCTGTCTATGGCTTCCTGCAGTTGCTATCCTTCTCACTGTTTTCCACCCTACCTAACTTTGTGTCATCCGCAAACTTGGAAATGGTACTTGCTATACCCAAGTCCAGATCATTTATGTATATTAAGAAGAGCAGTGGTCCTAATACCGATCCTTGGGGGACGCCACTGTATACTTCCCTTCAGTCAGAAAAGCAGCCGTTCACCACAACTCTCTGCTTTCTGTCTCCCAGCCAGTTCTGGATCCATGCTGCCACTGTCCCTTTATACCATGGGCTTCTATCTTTCTTACAAGTCTTTCATGTGGCACTTTGTCAAATGCCCTTTGAAAGTCCATATACACTTCATCAACTGCACTACCCTTATCCACCTTCTCCGTTACTTCATCGAAAAATTCTATTAGATTTGTTAGACAAGATTTGCCTTTAACAAATCCGTGTTGGCTGTCCCTAATTAACCCATATTCTTCTAAGTGAAGATTTATTCTGTCCTGGATTATAGCCTCCAGGAGTTTCCCCACTACTGATGTTAGGCTGACTGGCCTGTAGTTTCCAGGTTTGTCCTTCTGTCCCTTTTTGTACAGGGGAGTAACATTGGCCACCCTCTAGTCCTTCAGCCAAGTCAACCTTTTCAGTACTTCCTCTCTGTTTATACTTATCCTATCCATTTCCTCTACCCTCTCCTCCAATACTGCTGCATTTGGTGCATCCACTTCTTTTGTGAAGACAGATGCGAAGTATTCATTCAATACATCAGCCATGCTCTCTGCCTCCACAATAAGATTTCCGCCTTAGTCCTTAATTGGCCCCACCCTATCTTTGACTCACCTTTTTTTTTGATATGTTTGTAAAATATTTTAGAATTCCCTTTAATGTTACCCACTAACCTTTATTCGTATAATCTTTATACCCCTCTTTTTTCCTGTTTTACTTGTCTTCTGCGCTTCCTCTATTCTATTTGGTTGTCTTCTATACCTTGGGTTTGACATTTGTCATATGTCTCCTTTTTCTGCTTCATTCTAGATACAATTACCTTCGTCATCCAGGGAGGTTTGGATGCCCTACTTTTCCCTTTTGTGGGAATGTGTTTATTCTGTCCCCGAGCTAGCTCATCCTTGAAGACTTCCCACTGCTCTTTAGTTGTTTTACCTGCCAATCTTTCTTTCCAATCCACTTGGCTAGGTCCCTTTTTAACTCAATGAAATTTGCCCTCTTCCAGTTGAGTGTCTTCACCTTAGATGGTTCCTTGTCCCTTTCCATATGCACTCTCAATCTAATGATATTGTGATCACTATTGCTCAGATACTCTCCCACTGAAACCTGCTCCACTTCCCCTACTAGATCCCCAGAACTAGATCCAACACTGCTTACTTCCTTGTTGGGCTGGAAACGTACTGATCAAAAACGTTGTCCTGTATACATTTTAGGAACCTTTCCCCCTCCTTGCCCTTTGCGCTGTTGTTTTGCCAGTCTATGTTGGGATAATTAAAGTCCCCCATCATCACAACTCTATTGGCCTTGCATCTGTCTGAGATCTGCTTGCAGATCTGCTCATCTATTTCCTTCCCACTATTTGGTGATCTTTAGTATACCCCTACCAGCATAACAGCTCCTTTTTTGTTCCTTAACTCTAACCAGATAGATTCCGTTTTGGGGCCCTCCAGCACCTCAACCCTTTCCACAGCTATAACCATATCCTTGATTAACATTGCCACACACTCCTTTTCTTCCTTCCCTATCCCTCCTGAATACATTATTGCCAGGAATATTCAGCTCCCATTCCTGTCCTTGTTTGAGCCAGGTCTCTGTTACTGCTACTACATTGTATCCCCCTATGACCACTTGAGTCTGCAGCTCACCACTCTTGTTTGCTAAACTCCGTGCATTTAGGCACATGCACTCCAAGAATGACTTGACCTGTTCTGCACATCCCCCCTGTTTTATTTCTCCATTTTCTAGCTTTTTTTTTGCATTCCCTTCCGCCCTCAAAACTGGTTTAAACCCTCCCCAACAGCATTAGTTAGCCTGTCTGCAAGCACATGCGCCCCAGCCCTGTTTAGGTGTAACCCATCCATATGGTGCAGGTCCCACCTGCTCCAGAACTGGTCCCAATGATCCAGAAACCTGAAGTCCTCTTTTCTGGACCATTTCTCCAGCCAAGCATTCATATGTTTGATCCTGCCATTATGGCACTCATTTGCCTGAGGCACAGGGAGTAATCTAGAGATCACCACCTTGGATGTTCTATTCTGTATTTTGTTCCCCAGCTTTTGATATTCACCTTGTAGCATCTCAGCCCNTTTTTTTAACCTGTATCATGGATCCCAACCTGGATCACCACTTCTGGATGTTCCCCTTCCCCCTGAAAAATTTTATCCATTATGTCTAAGACTGTTTCACCAGGGAGGCAACATATCATCCTTGACTCCCGTCTTCTGTTACAGAAACACCTGTCTATACCTCTCACTGTTGTATCCCCTATGACAACAACATTCCTCCTGTTACCTATGTCCCCTTGTTCAACCAATCGTTTTTTACTGTCCTCCCTGGAGATATCAGCACTTTCAATGTTCAGTACAGAGTACTGGTTTGAGAGAGCTACACTATTGGGGGCATTCTGCCCAGCCTTTCCCCCTTCCTACCATTCCGGACAGTCACCCAGTCATGTTCCATCTGAACCCTCGGTGGCTGTGGGGTGACCACCTCCATAAGTGTCTGGTCCATCAAATCCTCACATCCGTTGTGTAAGTTTGAAGCCCAAGGCTCCATCACCCCTCTCTCAGTGGTCCCATTATCTGCAGGACTGATAAAACTATCCTGTCCCTGACCATTAACCAGATGCAAGCATCTCCCGAGTCTCAGGGGAGTGATGGTTTCCTCCATCATACTGTCAAGGAACCTCTCACTGTCCCTGATGGAGCGATGCATCTGCACCTCGGCTTCCAGCTCAGCTACTCTCAGCTGGAGTTTCCTGAGTTGAATTGGAGCTTCCAATTCAAATTGTTTGAATGTCAACAAAGTGCTTAACCTAATTTTACTGTGAAATGTAGTGACTGTGCATTTGTAGACAAATGTGTCAGCTAATTTTGTGCCCAGCAAAATGTCCCACAAATGAAGTGAATGACGAATTTTATCTGCGGGTTTGTTGGCCAGGAGACCTGGAAAAACTCCCTTCTCTTTTGGAATGTGGGACCTTTAATGTCCACCTGCAGATGGGACCATGGTTCATCGTCTGACACCTAAGATTGCTAAAATTGCAATCTCAGCAACTCAAGCATAGGAAGAATAATATGATGACAGGAGAAGCTTAAGTTGGGATGTGTTAGCAAAATATGTTTATTACATTTATTTTCCTAATTTGGGGCAAACATTAAAATAACAAAAGAGTATTGAGAGTAGCTTCACTACTGGGGTACAATATTCTTTTCAAAGTCACTGTGTGTGAGCTGAAAATTTTTAAAACTGCTTAGCCTAGAGGGGAACATGTTTCTAAGTGATAGTCAAAGTGTTGAAGGGACTTTATAACATATATGGGGAGAAATTTCACCTGGCTCTAGATTTACTCTATTTATGCAGCATTTTAGAGAGTCCAGAATTTTGGCAAACTGTTGGATTCAGGCTTAACTTCAAAGTTATTTTTGTAGTTCTTCTCTCTTCCCCCCACCACCCCCTTATCCTCCCACAGCCCCTCACCTTCCCTCAGCTCCCCCCACCCCCAACTCCTCCTCTTGTCCTCAGCTACCCTGCCTTCAGTTCTGGCCCCCTGCCTTCAGATTCTCCCCTGCCCCCACTCTTAACTTCCCCTGTCCTCATCCCCCTGCCCCCACCTTCCCCCCCCCCTCCACCCCGAGTACTTTGAGATGTCCTCCTGAACACAATTGTGTTCTTACAGGAAGCCAGTACCAAAATTAAAGATGTATTTATGAATTTGCCAAAGTCCGATCATTCTGAAGTGCTAAATAAAGTACAGTAAATCTAGATTCATGTGGAATTTCTCCCCCACAGGCTTTTAATCAAATAATCAGATAGTGGATTAAATGAGATGTAGAATGATTCATGTATGCTCTGACCCTTTCCTGGTATTGATTAATGATCAATCATTTGAGTTTGAAGTGCAAATTGAAAAGTATTTTCTGTCCTCTATGATGCAGAACAATCTATTTAGCTGATAAACCTGGAGTACTTCTTCCCTTCTGAAGAGTCTTGCTTTTCTTCTCCTCTGCTTATGTCTCAAGACAAGAGGCAGATACTTGTTCAATTGTAGGCGAAAAATTGGCTTGGATGTGATGGAGTTTGCAAGTGCTTGCTGAGAAACAACTCACAAACATGGGTGCAGCTCTATAACATAATCCGCAGAGGTAGGCTTTCCAAGGTAACTTGTTATTATTTCAGACTTCTACTTTTATACTTGATTTGCAGGAGAGAAACTGAAATAATTGGACATCTGGATGCTCATAATTAGTGATTATTATCTTTTGAGGTTTGAAAATAGACAAAATAAAAAACTATTTTTTGTGTTTTCATGTAATCTCACGTTATTTGTATTCACATGAATAAGGGTATTAATAAGTCATCCAGAAAGTAAAACCTGACCCTCACAATCCACCTTTTATTATTATTATTCTGACCCAAGCCCCCGTTCCCAACCTCCGTTACTCCGAATCAGTTCTTCTCTCCCACCGGCCTCCTTACCTTCTTCCTCACTTGGACCACCTCACTGTCTCCCTCTGTTCCAGTCCAGGCATCCTCCATCAGCCCATCATGGCTCTCGGTGACATTTGTATCAAAGCAGCCACCTTAACTGTCCCATCGCTCACAAGTGCTCTGGGACCCTACATGCATGAGGAGCATTATATTGCAAGTTGTTGTTGTTCTGTTGTTAAAGTGTGAATGTTTAGGTTATTTGTCAACTGTGTTCGAGCTGCGCATTTGGCTTTTTATATTTTTTTTACAACCTGTTCATTGTCTATACAAATGCTTATTTAACACTTGATTTATACTATGTGTAATGGTTAGGTCTTTACCTTTTTCTCTTCTTTTTTACCATCTGTTTCTCTCTTCCTACTTACCAATGCTCTCCTGAAAGCGGTGATTCATACTGGAGCAGGGTTCAATAAGCATTGTCAGCTTTCACTTAAAGATCACAAGATCAAAAGATGAGCTGCGGATGAAGAAAGCCCTTCGGCCACCTGGTCTTATCCTTCCAGAACACCCACCCTACTATCTTCCCATCATATCTTCGAGTTGTGTTTTTAAATTAGTTCACTGTCTGGTAAAACTTTGGCAGTAACCCCGCATTCTGTGGTCCCCTGTTCTTCCCCCAACCTATGTAATTTTGCTTTGTTGTAAATAAATAATAATTCTTGGATTTCAAAGTGCTTCATAGGATCTACTTACTGTAAAGGGTTGTGACAGTGTATTTTGGAGGTGAATGTGGCACCTGATTTCCACAGAAGCAATGCCCCATAAAAAGCCATGAAGTGAATGAGTAAGTTATTCTGCAGAAATGTTGGCCAGGACACTGGGAGAAAACTCCCTTCTCTTTTCGAATGTACCTGAACACAAGACAGGACCTTGGTTTATCATCTCATCCAAAGAACAGTACCTTCAATAATGCATCGCTCTCCGAGCAATGCACTGGCGTGTCAGACCACCTTATGCGACTTCAAAAGTCTCAACATGTGACTTCAACCCACAACCTTCTGCCTCAAAGATTAGAGTGCTATCAACTGAGCCAGGCTGACACCAATAATGTGAAGCCAAAGTAGTGACGGAATGTTTGCATGAGATGATTCACAGCAATTCTCTATATTGATCTGTGGAGCTCACTAAAGTTAGGATATACTACAAGGTTTGCATTGGTTAGTTGGTTGTGAGAACTAACAAAATTGAGAAATATATTTGACCTATTTTCTCGTTTTCTCTCAAGGATATTAGAGAAGAGGGAACATGTGCTGAATCCAAGCGCTGGCAACACCCCAAGGTCAAATAGACTGAGAAGAGTCCAGAAACACACATAAAGTAGAAATCCATTGAGGGGTGGAGGAGAAAGAGAGGTAGGTCACAAGTGGCGTGTGAGTTGAAATGTTTAAACGTTTCATAAATAATGGAAAGGCCAAGAAGCGCAGAATTGTTGAGCTGAATGGATTAAAATATTACTCCACAATACAGTGTTTTAAGGTTTCGGACAGATTGCAAAAATCTGCAACTATTATCTTCAGCCTGAAACCTGTGATACATGCTCACTCCCAACACAGTGCATAGTGTAATAACCTATTCATTATACCTTGGAACTGAATTGAATGGGGTAATTAAATCTTTTCAACTGGATTGGATTTCAGTGTAACCACTGCCTCTCTTGCATTACCCACTGATTCCAGTCTGGGAAATCAAAGACTGGCTGATATTAATCACAGGGAAATAGTTAAACGTATTTTGACTTGGCAGTCAATATGTTTGGTTGTTTGTAGGCAAAGTGCATGTGTGCTCCCCTTCCACTCTTAAGACTGAAGCAACTAAAATGTCCTGTTTGCATTTATTATTTATGTGCAATTTTACACACTATCAATCAATGCTTTGTCAGATGAGACAGCAAGAGAATTAAATCAAGCAACATAAATTATGAATTTGTTTGCTTTTATATTTCTTGATGGTGTGTAAACCACTTCTGTCCATCCATTCTTTACTGATTTATTCTGTGTAACATTGCTGCTTAACTGAATTGTTTATCCATTGCAGACCATTGAGACCAAGAGAGCAAACAAGCAAAAAGGAATCTTGCCCTGATAGGAATAAAAGGCAAAGTTGAGAAAAGTGAGGAATTCAGTTATCCATTTATGGAAATATTAAGACTCATAGAGATGGCAAATCATGATAATTGATTTGTTAATGGTAGGGAAAGAGAACTATTATTTTGTCAATATTACACATTTCAGAGGTTTGTATAAAACAATACTTGGCAACTTTAAGCATAAGAACAATTGTGACTTGGCATGACATCTCTAGTAATCCTTCAAACTCTTTTGATTAGTGATATTTTAAAGAATCTTTGGATCAAATTTTACCACAGCTCAATTCACCTAAACATAACGTATTTAGCTATATCTATGAATACATGTAATAATGATATGTAAAAGTATTTAATGACTTCAAAAATATATCACATTTGTGAAAACCTAGAATTTAAAATGGACCTTGTGTTTATTCCTGAATTTGACAATTTAATGTTAAATGGGTGGGAGGAATAATGACATCAAAATTTCACTTGTACCTTCGTGCAATAACCCACATGAAAATCCCCCCCAAAAACTTGCCAATCTTAATATCTTAAATAGACTGAACTTTAAAAATGCTGTGATCACTTTGAAGCTGCAATAATTTTCAGTGACATTAATGCACATTCCTCAATAGGAGTGATACAGGTTTAACCCTCATGTAGAACTTGGATTTCATCTTCAAGGATACAGAACAATGTACACAATAGTGATAATAGAGCACTTTACCTCTCAAGCAAAGTCACAGGAACACATGGTGTATCTTCACCAACACCTCTTTTCGGCAATTTCAAATACTTTGATCCATGATGTGAACCTTAAAAGTTAGGACAGGGAACATTCAGTGACTATCCCAATGCCCAAAAGATCAAGAATTGATCATTCCCAGGCGCCCACAGAACAGCCACATGTTTCATCCACATTGAGCTTCGCAACTTCTTAAATAAGTATGATGTAAATATCGATCAGGTAAAATAATACTTTATATCTCATACTGATCAGAAATGTTATGTGCATTATTAGGGACCAAGAAGGCTATTTTGTTTTAGAATATATTTAAAATTCCCAGTTTTGAATCAAAAAGCTACATTTGAATCCTTTCATAAAAACTCATACCTTTCATAAAAGCTCATACCTATAGTTATATTAACACCTATTTTTGAACAAACCCAATGATTTACTAATGCATCATTAACCTGACTGGTAACTTACTCCAAATATTTATCACTGAGAAAAATTGTCCCAAATATTGAGGCAAAATTATGATATTCCTTAAAGTGTTCCTTGCCTCAATTGGCACAAGGCAAACTTTAAGGAATGCAACAATTTTTTGCCTCAGTTCATTCCAGACGTTTGCAGTCATGTCCTCTCATCTCATTTTGCCGTCAAGTAAAAGACTGAGTTTACCTTTTCTGTATTATGAAGTAATTTGTGTCAGACTGGCTTAGTTGGTAGCATTCTCACCTCTGATGCTCACTCGCACAAAACTCCATAGCCCATCACACTAGTCCTTGCTAGGCTCCACTAGCTCCTAATTACTGAACAGATTGATTTCAAGATTATCTCATTCATTTTCAAATCCATTCATGCTGTTGGATATCAAGAAAGTTCACCCAGCTTTCCGTTTAGGCAAAATCTGTTAAGCCAAACTTTACTAGTTCCATAAAGTTACACCATGGAGGGATTACAATAAAGCAATACTACCCCGGGTCGGGACGTTCAGCAGCCGAGGTTCCAATCTGTCTTGTCTGGGTATTCAAGCTTTTTGATCTTCCATCAAGTCTTCCCTCATGCTCCTCCGATCTTTTCCTTCTGTTTTTCCTTCTTTGTTCTCCCTGACTTTATACTCTCATCCCACTCCCTCTATACCTTCCTCCAATCTCTTATCAGTCGTTTACAACCTGTTTTTAACATATCCATCATGTTTCCTTCAACCCTCTTTCCTTGTACTGACTCCATATGTTCCATGGCCTCTCATTCCTTTTGACCCATTGTTAGTATGTTAATTCTGCACCCTTATGCTAACAATGCCCTTGCACTTCCCAACCTATCCGACTTGCTTTACCCCCACTCCACCATCCGCTGCCTCTGCTTGGCTGGCTCCGGCCTCCTGTTTGTCCCTCATCCCCTCTACCGTCGGTGGCCATGCCTTCAGTCACTATGTCCCAAAACTCTGGAATTCTCTCCCTCAATCCCTCTGCCTTGCCCTCTCCCTCTCCATTTTCAAATCCTGCCTAAAGATCTTCCTTTTTGATCTTCTTTTTTGACCACCTCCCTCCCTCTCTCCCTGGCTCAGGGTCAGATCTGCCACTGTCAAGTGCTCCGGGATGCTACCTCACGTGAAGGGCACTATATACATGCAAGTTGTTGTTGAATTCCATCCCCCAGTCACTCTGCCTTGCCCCCTCCTTATCCTCCTTCAAGTCCCACCTCAAGACCCTCCTCTTCGACCATGCCATCGGCCACCCCCCTTCCCCTCCCCTCCTCTTCGACCATGCCATCGGCCACCCCTCTTCCCCTCCCCTCCCTTCTCCCCCCTGACCCCAGCTCGGGTCTGAAATGCTGTAGCGCCTTGGGATGTCCTCCTGATGTGAAAGGCGCTATACAAATGTAATCTTGTTGTTGTTGTTCAATCAGAAGGTTGTGGGTTCAAGCCACACGTCGGAATTTAAAACTCATATAGTGTAGGCTGACACTCCATTGCAATTCAGTGCTGTATTGTTGGAGGTACGGTCCTACAGATGTGACGTTAAAATAAGATGCCATCTATCTCAGGTTGACGTAGAATATAATTATTAGGCACTATATAATGGCACTATTTCAAAAGAGAAGAAGGTTTCTCCCGGTATCCTGGCCAACAATCAACCAAATAAAAGTAGTCATTCCCTTCATGGCTGTTTGTATGGCATTGATGTAATGTTATTTCCAAGCCCCTCACTGCAATTCATAATGATGTATTTTAATATATTAATGATGTTCTTTCTGATGAACTATTGCTTTGGATTAATCACTGGAACACAATCTGATCCTATCTACAATTTAATTTGTCTAGTTAACTGGTGGTATTTGAAATTAAGCATATTATCCGTCTGGAAATGAAGTTATTTAGTAACAATGTATTCATTACATTTAAGACATTTCATGAGAACAAAAGGTTACTTAGCTTAATTTGTTAATATCTTACAGAATGCTAAATTTTGTAGTCAATCATTTTCATATCACCCTCCTTTTGCATTTCCGACATATCTCTTCTTCTCCTGTCTAACAGAGCTATTGTTAAACAGGTCCTGTAGATTTTATATTTCATGAAGCATTTGATCTAGCTCCACAACTGATTGATAAAAACAGTGAAAAATAAGAAATAAGTTTGATTTTAAACTGACTCAGCAACGGTGATCTCTACCAAGATAATAATTCAAATCTGTTATCCACCAACAATGTCAGAAAATACCCTCCATCTGGTAGCTGGTGAATTCTTATGGGAGGGAAAGGGAAGTCTCTTCAGTGCACTTAAAGGGAACAAACTCAGAAATGTACTTATAATATGCATTTTAGAGTGGAGTCCTGTACCTCAGTGCTTAGAGCACTCGCCTTCCCAGCAGGGTGAAATGTTGGGCAAGTTTCCTTACTCCACACGTCTCTTTTACATTAGCAGTAAGTAGGAAACCAGTTGTTAGTCGATTGGCAGATTGCTTTCTGAGGGTAACAATCCATCAAAAAATAATAATAATAGTTTGGTCAGTCAATCCATAACTGTTTGTGGGAAACTGCTGTGCTTAATTTACTTTACAGTATATTCTGTGAAGCCTCGAACATGTGATGAAGCGCTATATAATATACATATACATCAAATGCAAGGATTATTATTATTATTTGTTTGTATGGAAGTCATAGTGATACACTCCTGTGTGTGACAGTTTAGGTTGTCACAATGCGATCTATGATGACACATTAATCCAAAATTCACTATGAAATGTATTGTGCATGGCATGATACCAATTAACAAAAATCAAATACCTCCATTAAAACATTGTATGCTAGGATGAGAATTGATTTCTTTCCAAAAAGGAACCCATCCAATTTCTGGAGTACATTTGCACAGCCACCTCAACATTACTCCCCAAATTAGATGTGCTAATTTCAGAATGATAGAATGCAAAATTCACCCAATATGCTTAAAACCCTGAAAGTAATCCCAAAGTAAATGAATATGCAGAAGAAATACTGCAGATGCTGGAAATCTGGTATAGACACAGAAGTCACTGGAAAATGCAGCACCATCCATGGTGAGAGGAAAATGAGTTAATGTTTCAGATCTATGACCTTTTTCTTCAGACCTTTCTAATGAAAGGTCATAAACCTGAAACATTAACTAATTTTCCTCACTTCATGGATGCTGCCAGATATGCAGAAGAACCTGTTTGACAACCTCCTCAATTGATAGGGCTCTTCCCAATATGTCAGAAGATTTTGGTTTCAAACCCCATTTCTGAACTTTGAACTTACAGTCTAGGTTGATACTTCATTATTTTCATCAGCCTGATACATAATAATAATAATAATAATAACCCTAATCCTTGTATTTGATACATTAGCAGTAAGTCACGTCTTCTAGATGTTTCAAAGCACTTCACATAATATTCTGTAGTGAATTGACTCTATATTTGTGGGCGAAACGCAGCAGCCAATTGTGCACAGCAATGTCCCACAAACAGTCGTGGATTGAGTGTCCAAATTATTATTGATTTTTTTTGAGCGAACCGCCAATCAATTAACAACTGGGTTTCTACTTATTGCTAGGTAAACAGAGGTGTGTGGAGTAAGGAAACTTGACCAAACATTTCCCCCTGCCGGGAATAGAACTTGGTATCTCGCTTTCGAGGTGAGTGCTCTAACCACTGAGCTACAGGACTCCACAATGGTTTGACTGTGCATTTTGTGGGTGAAACATGACAGCCAGTTGCACATTTTAATGAAGCACAAATAGCCATGGAGTGAGTGACCAATTTTATTTGAGAGATTGTTGACCAGGACACTGGGAGAAACTCCTTTCTCTTTTTGTATACTGCCATGGGATCTTTAATGTCCACCTGAACAGGCAGACCTGACCTGGGATTAACGACTTATCTGAGGGAGGGCACCTCCAACAATACAATACCACCAGCACTGTATTGCACTGTGAACTTGGAATTTGCGATTCCAAGACCCAATGTGGGAGCTGAATGCACAACCTTCTGACTTAGAGGAAAGACTGCTATCACTGTACCAGGCTGACATAAAGGCTTACACCTTCAAATCTCTCATGGTGTAAGAAAATTATCCAACCCCATTTGTAATAGATAATCATGTATTTACTGTTACTAAGTTTGGTAAGTTGATAGATAATAATGTATTTGCTAAATCAATAGCTATAATGTAGAAAACATCACAAAGCTGAAGAAATAATGACACCCTAATTCCATCTCTTTTAAAGGGACTGGAGAAAGGACTGGACTCCAAGATTTATGATCACCTCCGGCAGTGAATGACTGTCTCTGAATAATGTAATGTTAAGGTCCTTTTATGCAGAGTAGTAATAACAATCCCTCCAAAACCAAAAACAATAATAAATTGGTCATTTTCAATCCACGACTGTTTGTGGGACATTGCTGTGCGCAATTGGCTGCCGCGTTCGCCCACAAATATACAGTCAATTCACTTTACAGTGTGTTCTGTGAAGCGCTTTGGGACGTCCTCCCCACGTGAAAAGCGCTGTATCAAATGCAAGGATTATTATTATTATTATTAATATCTGTGTATAGATTGTGTATGCGCGGCTCAGGATATCGTCACGCAAAAAGCATTGGATCTTAATTGATACCTACGTGGCTCTTGCACTCGCGGCACCTCACACTGACACGAATTCAACTCGTGCTATTTTAAAGGTGTTGCAACCCATTATTTGGACTATCGTGTGAGCGCAAAAGTCGGCGTTTCGTTTCGTTGGTCCCACATGCAGCAGTTTCGATGCAAACGAGAGCTTTAAGGAGTGCGCTGTGCACGCTTTGCCTGTTACAGTAGTCCTGTCTTTCTGATCAGCTTGAAATGAAATCGTTTGCTGCCGCTGTTGGGGGCACTTTTAGTGCCCCCAACAGCGGCAGCAAACGATTTCATTTCAAGCTGATCAGAAAGACAGGACTACTGTAACAGGCAACCATTCAACTCCAAAATCCAAAAACAATAATAAATTGGTCATTTTCAATCTACGACTGTTTGTGGGACATTGCTGTGCGCAATTGGCTGCCGCGTTCGCCCACAAATATACAGTCAATTCACTTTACAGTCTATTCTGTGAAGCGCTTTGGGACGTCCTCCCGACGTGAAAAGCGCTATATCAAATGCAAGGATTATTATTATTATTATTATTATAACTCATGGAAAAGACAACCTGGGCATGAAATGCAGTAAAGGGCGCACACACACACACACACACACACACAGCAGTTACCAGCCGTGCCAAACGTCATGGATGTCATGGAAATCATAATAAGTGAAAATAAACAGAAATGGAAGAGCGTCATCTTGCTTCACGTCAACAGTGATGTCTTTGCAAGAAACTCGAAGGACGCATTTTATTTTAAAAGGTACCAACGACCTCTCTCTCTCTCTCTCTCTCTTCCCCCATCTCTCTCTCTCTCTCTCTCTTCCCCCAACTCTCTCTCTATTCCCCCAACTCTCTCTCTCTCTCTTCCCCCAACTCTCTCTCTCTCTATTCCCCCATCTCTCTCTCTCTCTCTTCCCCCAACTCTCTCTCTCTCTATTCCCCCATCTATCACTCTCTCTCTCTCTCTCTTCCCCCATCTCTCTCTCTCTCTTCCCCATCTCTCTCTGTCTCTCTCTTCCCCCATCTCTCTCTCTCTCTTCCCCCATCTCTCTCTCTCTCTCTCTTCCCCCATCTCTCTCTCTCTCTTTCCCCATCTCTCTCTCTCTCTCTCTCTCTCTCTTCCCCCATCTCTCTCTCTCTCTCTCTTTCCCCATCTCTCTCTCTCTCTCTCTCTCTTCCCCCATCTCTCTCTCTCTCTCTCTTCCCCCATCTCTCTCTCTCTCTCTCTCCCAGCTCGGTGTGATGAGCCTGGATGTGTGTGGTTGGAGTGCGCATGATCCGCTCCGTGTTATTGCTCGGAGCTTGTGATGAAGTGGTGACAATCGGTGTGTGTGTTTCTGGGGGAGATCTTGAGTACCTGTTCCTTCAGTTTCAGCAAAGAGCTGCTGCAAAGAGTCTCTTTCAGAAGAGGTTCTGTTGGTGTGTGTTGGTGTGTGTTTTCGGTGCCAGAGAATCCAGATCTATATTCTATCACGTTGTTGAAGTGATGGATGTTTGAAGCATTCTGACTGGACCGATGGGGCAGTGGGAGAACTGAGCTTGAGCCCCGGGTTTATTCCAGCAGCAGCATCTGTGAGGTTTTTTTTATTTAGGGACTCCGATCTCTTATCTTTCCTGCGCAGCCTTCTTTTCGGTTCCGCAAACCCTGGACAGCTCAGGAGTTTGTAGGGACGCCACGGGAAGAAGAGGAAGGAGAAGAAGAAAAAGAAAAGAAAAACGACTGATCCTGTGGAGTTGCGAGAAATTGAGAAATCATTGAAAAGTATCAGACCCGAGTCAGTCCCGGGAGGTGTTGATGGTCCAATTTAGCCTTTCTCAGGACACAAAGGATGGGCTGTGACTTGCTGGTATAAGGCGACCCTTTGAGATGGACTTGGCAGAAGTTCTCTTGGTGCTGTTCATCGCTGTGGTGCTGATCGTCTCTCTCTTGTCGAACTTGTTGGTGCTGATATGCTTCATCTACAGCTCCGACATCCGCAAGCAAGTCCCAGGCATCTTCATAGTTAACTTGTCTTTCTGCAATCTGCTCATTACAGTTCTGAACATGCCTTCGACTTTGCTGGGGATCGTCAAAAGGCAGCAGCCGTTTGGTGACTGCATTTGCCAAACAGTGGGCTTTTTGGAAACATTTCTGAACACCAACACCATGCTGAGCATGGCAGCGCTGAGCATAGACAAGTGGATCGCTGTGGTGTTCCCCTTAAGCTATGCCAGTAAGATGAGATATAAGGACGCTCTGCTTATGATGGGCTACACTTGGATCCATTCTCTCACTTTCCCCATCGCCTCAGTCTTCTTCACCTGGGTCGGTTACAATAATGTTTACTCAACCTGCACTTTGCATCTCAAAGAAGAGATGGAGAGGAGACGGTTTACAGTGTTCACCATCGTCTTTCACGCCACCAGCTTCATGCTTTCTCTTGTAGTATTGTGTTTTACGTATTTGAAGGTGTTGAAAGTTGCACGCTTTCATTGCAGAAGAATAGACATTATCACCATGCAGACTCTCGTTTTACTAGTGGATATCCATCCCAGGTAACTAACGCCTTTCGCCTTTATATTTGTCGCTCACCATAGTCTCTATAATATGGAAAACGTAACCGTTGGAAAAGAAAACTGCATTACCTCAAGGAGTTGTTTTTGGTGATTTTAAATATGCATTTCATGTGATTCAAGCTTTCGGTGTTGGACTGTCTTAAACAGGACAGTGTGTTAATAGTGGTACAGTTACATTTTCGCATCCACTAGCAAATCATCAGGGTGACTACAATTCGCATGTAGTTGTAGCATAAAGGTTCAACGTTAATACATTTTAGGGAAGTACTTTGATACTGCTGTAACGATTGGCAGTATTAATTATCCTGTAGTTGATACTCATGATTTTTTTAAAAAAAACACTCAGATAAAGGCTGGTTAAAAAGTGCTGTGAGTGATCTGGGAAGGGCATTCTATCAAATAAAGTCATTTAGCTTTGCATAGTGTTCTGCGGCTTCTAAACTCTCCAAGATATTAATTATTAAATACACTCTGTGCTGTTTTGTTTGCAGCCATATTTTCTGTGGAGACCTGTTTACAGATACAGCCGTGCTACATAAATTTAACTTCATTGTGCAGTCATATGATTCAATTACCTGTTTGCTATTTGATTGTTTTTGCCCTTTCTGATGTATTGCTCAAAGCATTTTATAATTATACTTCTCTAACAGATGAGATGTTTTACTTACATGTGACTATTTATGTGCATATCTATTGACCTTCGAGTAACTGATCTATAAGACCATGCTTAACTCCTTTTTTTTGGTTGAATCATTAATTTCTATTCCATCTGCCTTGTCATCCAGGTAGATTAATTCAGGTTAAGGGTTTCTCTGTCTGTGGGGAGTTTCACTTACTGTCCATCTTATATCCTTTCTGGGAATAAATGCATCCCAAAATTTCTAATTAATTGGTTAATCATCTTATTGCTGTTCATGTTATTTCAAATTAATCTCATTCTGTGTGAAATGTGTGATTGAGTCACTATGAGATTTTTTTTATTGTGAAAGGCACTATATAAATATAAGTTGTACTTTATCATACCCATATCCGCACCAGCAAATTAATATTTCTTTTTGTTTCTACACGTTTTTCAGTGTAAAACAGCGTTGCCTTGCAGAGCAAAAAACTAGAAGACAGCGTGCAACAAAGAAAATCAGCATTTTTATAGGGTCATTTATAATCTGCTTTGCTCCTTACGTTATAACCAGGTAAAATATTTCACTTTCAACTTTGTTAGAATTCCTTTTTGTCTGTTGGATCCACTTCAGTTTTGTGAAACAAATATCAGAAATATCACAAGTATGACTGCTTGCCGTTCAAGAAAACAATTCAGTGATGTGTTACACAAAAAAATGCTTCCAAGAAAATGTCCATGCCTTTTCATGATTAATTGTCAAGCTGGTTCTCAAGGGGATGTGTTCACACAGATAATCAATTATAGTTTCTGGTCACATTAGTTACTGCGACTGCAATCTGGGATTCCACTGTGTGCATGTCTTTAAGAAGTCTATTTAATGTAACCCATATTAACTGGAAGATGTCAGCCTGGCTCAGTTGGTAGCACTCTCGCACCTCTGTGAGATGGCAGCACTTCAGAATCAGAAGGTTGTGAGTTCAAGGGACTTTGCACTCGGCTATATCATAGGATTCACACTCCAAAGCAGTCCTGTGGGAGTGCTGCATTGTCAGAGGTGTCATCCTTCAAAAGAAACATTAAACTGAGGTCCCATGTGTCTGTTCAGGTAGACATTAAAGATCCCATGGTTTTATTAGAAAAGACAGGTGTCCTTGGCAACAAAGCCCCAAATAAAACTAGTTATTCACTTCATAGTTGTTTGTCATTGCTGTGTGTAAATTAACCGCTCTGTGTGACAACAAAACACAGTCAGCACACTTTACAGTATTATTATAGTTATTATTATAATATCCTGTGAATTGTTCAGAGACTTCCCCCTGACATAAAATGTGCTAAATCAAAAGCAAGGATTATGTTATTTTAAATGTTGTATTTTCCATATTCACTCAGCAACGGAACATTACATTTGGTTCATTACTTATGGGGGAGTGGAGGCTGGGGGAGGGAACAGGTACTGTTTGAGAAATGAAAAAAATGCTGATTTTTTTAAGCCATTCCACTTTTTTCATCTTCACTAGAAGCACAGACTCCCTTTGTAAAAATAATAATTATTTTTGAGGGATGGCTGGCACAGATTTTGCTGGCATATTTGTCTACGTCATATGGCATATTAAATATAAGATTGTTGTTTATTTATAAATCTTCATCATTTTTAATTTAGGTCCTATCTACTTTGTGATTCAGGTGGATGTTAAAAGACCTCCCCTCTCTCCATGCTCTACCTCCCAGGAAATTTCAAGGAAACATGAATTTTGTTTCTCAGTGTTATCCTGGTTTAAATTGCTTCCGATTCAGTCTCATCCCATATTTAAATAAATTGGCTTCTCATCTCATTGTTGTTTTAGGACATACTATAGTTGGCACAAATTAGGTTGCTTACAGAATGGGATTTTATTTTATAAAGCACTTTGAGACATACCTTTTACATAAAAGCCACTGTATAGATGCAAGTTATTGTTTCAATAAATTGCCCCATTTTCATTGTAAATATTAGTCATTGTAAATGTTAAACATTTTTTGTTCTACTTAAATTATATTCCCACTGATACAAGTGGGCAGAAACAGAGTCCCATTGACTTTGCTGTAAACTTTGGCAAAGGAAAACCCTGCATTCCCATCCATACCAATAACCTTATACAAACTATGACTTATCAGCACAGGAAAAGGTTAACATTTTAATTATGTCTTCATACTAACACTAAATATGTAAAGGTAATCCAGTGGATAGCCTTGGAGCTTTTAAAATGTTAATTCTGAAGTGTAATGACCCAGTTACACGATACAGGTTATCCCAATTTACTGTGGATTTTCACATTGAATTGATTTCACAAGATCTCTTTGAATGAAGGCTCTGAAGACCATTTGATTTCATCCTTTCAGAATACCCACTGAACCAACTAAAAATAATTATTATTTTCCATTACAGCATCAGGCTATTTTTAAATGAGTCCAATGTCTTGGCCTCAACCACCCTTCCTGGTGGAGTCCTGCAGCTCAGTGGTTAGAGTACTCGCCTTGCAAGCAAGACACTGGAGTTCAATTCCAAACAGACCAAAACCTTGGGCAAGTTTGTTTACTCCACACGCCTAGTAATAATCCCTCCAAAAAAAAAATTGGTCATTTTCAATCCATGACTGTTTGTGGGACACTGATGTGTGCAATTGGCTGCCGCGTTTCGCCCACAAATATATGGTCAATTCACTTTACAGCATATTCTGTGAAGGGCTTTGAGACGTCTAGAAGACGTGAAAAGCGCTATATCAAATGCAAGGATTATTATTATTAATCTGTTCCTGTCATTAATTACCCTCTGGGAAATGAAATATTTCTTGGAATCTTTTTTGAAATAGCCCTTTGTAATCCCAAACCTGTCTTTTTATTCCGTTGTCAGTGTATCAATATAAGTTCTGTGATATGAATGTACCATAAAAGTTCACTGCACTGGTTTCATCCAAAGTGATGTCTTGGAGCTGATCTCAAACCACTTCTGCTAAATTGAATCACTACGAATGCACTAAACCTAAAGTTATACAGCAGAATTGGCTGCTGTCTTGGTTTTCATGTTAAATGGATGCAAAATCTGCCATAAAACTGGTTAAATGTAATTGTACAACAAAGATGTATTACCAGTGTTCCAGTTACAGGTTTACTGTAAGCTAGCTGCAGGTTGAATTTAAAAATATTGACTCCAACACTGTCTCGGTTTCCATTAGTTTTAGATGCTGCATATGTTATCTGCAAAGTGTCAGTGATCAGAAAGATAAGCTTCTTATAAACTACTCATTGTATCAAAATGGTATCTGATAACATTTTCTATTGGGATTCACAGATCCAGTCTAAGAGTCAAATTACACTATGGTAGGCCAGCATTCCTAACTTAATACCAATAAACCCCAATCTGTATTGAAATACAGGCAAATATATTTTTGTATAGTCTGTGGGCTTTTGGTATAAACTATCCTACTAACTCGTGGTTACTCCTAATCTCAGTAGCGCACAGCATTGATTGAATAGGTGGCCTTTGCACAGGCAACTGTACTAATTATTCATTGCTCAAAACCTCAGGCCTAGTTGGAAATATAACCATTGGCTTCTTTCCACTATTGACTTCACAGCTGGTCTGCCAGATGTCTTTTCGATCATTAAAAAAATCATGTCATACAATCAGGACAGCTACAACATCACAATAGAAAAGTCTTTTATCTGTCATTCAAAAGCCCATAAGTCGTAACCCAGTGCACAGAACTGTGGAAAATTCTTAAACTGAATCCATGTTTGGAAGCTGGTTTTCCAAAACTCTTCAACAGCCTGAATTTAAGAATTTTCCACAATTCTGCAATCTTAAATTGTAGGTCTTACTTTGCTGGCTGAGAATAGGTGGAAGTTGGGCCTCAGACATCAATCACTATTCTAATAACCTGTTAATTATCTCATATTAATAACAATATTCCTTGAATTTGATATAGCGCTTTTCACGTCTTCTAGACATCTCAAAGCGCTTCACAGAATATATACTGTAGAGTGGACTGACTGTATAATTGTGGCCGGAATGGGGCAGCCAATTGCACACAGCAGTGTCCCACAAACAATAGTGGATTAAAGTGACCAATTTATTATTGTTTTTTTTTCTTGAAGGATTATTATCAGGCGTGTGGAGTAAGGAAACTTGCCCAAGGTTTTGTCCTGCCGTGAATCAAACCCAGGTCTCTTGCTTGCGAGGCGAGTGCTCTAACCACTGAGCTACAGGACTTTACATTAGGGGATAATCATTAAAGAATGTACCAGAGGAAAGCTCCATGGCAGAATTTACACTCGCTGCCCCACATACTTGCTCAAATCACCCTCTCTTCTACAATTTTGTATAAAATCACTTAAGATTACAATAATAAACTTATGAAAGTGGCTAGGTGGATGTGCAGATTTCCCCATGACTGTGATCAGAGGATTAATCTACAGAACAACTGACAGAAAGTGAGCTCTGCGTCACAGCTGCAATTCTGCACAATTCCTAAGTACACCTCGATTTTAAAGGTTTAGTTTATATACTTTAATTGTATGTTTCAAATTAAATTGATCTTAAGGTTAATTTTAAGCATTGTGCAAGTACCTCCATATACATTTCCACATGCATTATATGTAAATTATGTTTGCAGTTTTTCTCTTTTTATAATTGAAAATTCCAAGGTGAAGGGCCAAAATCCAGAAAAGCAGGACGCCACAAAAGTTGGGAAGAATAGGAACTTTGCAACCTCTCTGCTCAGGTGGTAAAGCTACTGCCTAGTATGAAGGCATTCAAATCCTGAAGGTCACAGGTCCAGTCTCTAGTCTCTGCTGAATTAGCTGAATTCTGACGTTGCAGCAGCAAGCACATTGCAATTGGTTTCAGGTCTCCTGGCTAGAGGGAAACTCAACCAAGGGTTCCTGATCACTATCCTGTGATCATTGCTGGAAACAGCATTATATCAAAACAGCATTGGTTGTGATAAACTGAATAGTTCCACTTTGTAAAGCTATTGGATCTCAAGCGACTGTCCTATGGTGTGCTCTCATCTTGCAAAAGGAATTAGTGGAGTCTAGGAGAGGAGAATTGGAGGGGTGGAGGCTCGTGTGGAATGTAACCACCATCATTGGGTTGAATGCTTCCATGCGATAACATCTGGCAATGAGCTACGTACAAAGTAATTTGCTTACCAATTTCTTGCACTGGAACCTTATCAGACAATTATTTAGGTACAATAATTTGAGGTAAACTGGATTTATGAGCAGTGGCACTGTGCATGTGATGTGTACCTCCTGTAAAGTCAGTTAAGAAAGGAGATGATCTGGATTTGCTCAATCCTTTGAATCAGCATATCTGTGTTTAAAATACTTTCTGCATTTTACTTTAAAAAGGGATTCACCCGGGAAAACAAACATTAATTATATCTGTAAGTCTTAGCTCGGTAGCTGCCTGTTCCTCGGTTACAAAATCAGGGCAGCCCCAATTTGCATTTTAATTGCAGTCTCTGCAAAGTGCTGATCTGCCTGTTGGGACAATTGCAGGTATTCTGTTCTTCCGATGCTTGTTTCCGGATTTTAGAAATGAGCACAGAAAGAATCTGAGGACAGCAATCACCTCACGAAGTTGAGCATGCCTGAGCAGAGTCCACTCTTTTCTGGAGTTAGCAGATCTGAACACTGACCCAATATTAAAAAAATCCTGCTAACTGCAATTCCATCAGACTGTCACAATAAAGGTTTCTTAATAACAATCCTTGCATTTGATATAGAGCTTTATCACGTCGTTGAGGCATCTAAAAGCACTTCACAGAACATACTGCAAAGTGAATTGACTATATTTTGTGGGCAACATATATCTTATAGTTTCTTTTAAAGGATATGCAAGGATTAAGATGGACCAGACTTTGCCAGCTTTGGCAACCAGATAGTTTAGTTGTGAACTGCAGACTTCAGATGCCTGGGACATGTAATTAAGATTAGGGCTTTCCTCGAGCACTAACACTGCAATCAAACAGGTGTGGTGCGTGACTCTGGGCTGTGTGCACTCTACCACTTGGTATTTTTTCACTACTTTCACAGCAAGCAGTAAGAAATCATGCAATATTCTGAAATCTGATGTTAGAGACCAAAACAGTGGCTGTTTAATGTAAATGCAACACCTCACATTCTTGAACACACAAAATATGTATATGTGTTACACTTATTAGTCAAATTAAAGCCTTGGTGCTGATTTAGTAAACGGAGTAAATCTAACCAGATCAATAGCAGTTTCTGTGCTTTTGAAGATTGTTCCTAGTCGTTTATGCAATGTTACATTTGGAGTATCAGTGGGGAAATATACTTCTGGGACCTTGGCACAAAGTCCTTTAGGTGTGCAATTAATCCACTGCTTCGGAATAACAGCCTGCTGAAATGATAGTCAGCCTTTGCCAGGAAATATAAATCATGTGAACATTTATAGATTTGCTTAACAGGCACAAAAATGTCTATATAACTCTTTGGCATCTCCTCATTGTATTGCTGAGAACACAAGTCAGGATAAAATCCTTAGTGAGACAATTTTACTGGATTCCCATTTCTCCCTCTGCCAGGGTATGTTAGTTATGCCCCACTTAAAAAAAAAAGAGGACAAAGTGGCTGAGAATAGAATGCAAGAGGGTTGCTGCAAAATGTATCTGCGAAGTTAGATGAATGTGGGAGGTGCCCTGATTTCTGAGAAAGAAAAGAAAATATGAAAAGTTAAGGGCTGAGACCCACAGGGACACTTCACACAACCTGCTTTAAGTAGGTAAAGCGAAGCTCATCTGAGCTGTAAATGGTAGAATTGTATCACACCTGCCTATTGTGCATGATATGAAGTGCATGTCGATCGAAGACACAGAGGAGAAATGGCCTTGGGCTTTGGTACTTACTTCACCAATCAATACAACTGATGGTTCTTGAGTGAGATGAGAAACTGAAGTCAAGTCAGTCACCAGATAATGATAATAATCCTTGCATTTGATATAGCTATTATGCCGTTGAGACGTCTTGAAGTGCTGCACAAAATATATTGTAAAGTGGATTGACTGTGTATAGTGTGCGTGAAACGCAACAGCCAATTGCGCACACTCACCCTTGACCATTCCAATCTTACAAATTACCATCCCAGTTCCAACCTGCCCTTCCTCGCCAAAGCTCTGGAACGTGTTGTCGCTAACCAGCTTTGCTCACACCTCTCCCTTCACTGGCTCCTCGAGCCCCTCCAGTCTGGTTTCCACTCTGCCCACAGCACAGAGAATGGCTCTTGACAAGGTCACAAATGATGCCCTTTCTCTATGTGACCAGGACTCCCTCTGCTTCCCCATCCTCCTGGACCTCACCGCTGCGTTCAACACAGTCGAACATACCATCCTCATCCATCGCCTCTCCTCCCTAATCCACTTTAGTGGGATTGCGCAAGCCTGGTTCGAGTCTTACCTAACAAACCACGTTCAGTTTGTCTCTTCAAGCGGTTTCTTCTCCCATCCCTGGTCGGTCACCTGTGGTGTACCCTAGGGCTCCAACTTTTACCCCCTCCTCTTCCGCATCTATATGCTCCCTCTCGGCAATGTCATCCGGAGACATGGGGTAAACTTCCACATGTATGCGGATGACACACAAATCTACTTCTCCTCCTCCAGCTGTGACTCCAGCTTCGTGCAAAGGTTTTACAACTAATATTGACAAGATGGAAACCATACTCCTTGGTTCCTGACAATGTCTTCAGTCCTGTGGCTCTGACCTCCTCAACCTCCCCAGCCTATCCCTCAGATGTACCAAACCGGTGCGCAACCTTTTGTTAGATCCACAGCTGTCCTTCCTTCCCCAAATCTGGTCCCTGACCAGAACTGCCTTCCTCGGCCTCTATAACTAGGGCCGCCTCCGGCCATGCCTTACCTGAAATGCAGCCGAAACACTCATCCATGCGTTTGTCACCTCCCAACTTGACTTTTCAAATGCCCTCTTTGCCGATCTCCCCAGCTCCACCATGCACAGGATCCAGCTGATCCTGGATGCTCCGCCACCTGCATACTCACCCATACTAAACTCCGATTATACCAGTTCTAACCCGGCTCCATTGGCTCCCTATCGCCGAATGGATCGAGTTCAAGATACGCACAATCATTTTCAAATCCCTTCATTCCCTGGCACTTCCCTACCTCTCCAACCTGCTTACTCTCCAACCCACAACCTGCTGCCTCCACTCGACTGGCTCCGGCCTTCTGCATATCCCTTGTGTTCTCCTTTCCACCAAGGGTGGCTGTGCTTTCAGCCACTACGCCCTGAAACTCTGTAACACTCTTCCTCTCTCCCTCCGTCTTGCCCCTTCCTTCCCCATGTTCAGGTTGTGCCTGAAGACCTTCCTCTTTGACTGTGCCTACAGTCACCTTCCCCTCTCCCTAGCTCAGTGTCATGCTCCGCCCCTGTCAAGCGCTCTGGGACACTACCCTGCATGAGGGGCGCTGTATAAATGCAAGTTGTTGCTGTTTAGATATTCAATTGTCTAACATCTCTGACAAATGCAAACCAGGACCATGTCATCATGCCTCTCCCTGAAATAAAATAGACTGTCTTTTGAATTCTTGATGCAATTTGATGCTGTACTTTTATAATAATAATAGTAATAATAATCCTTGCATTTGATATAGCACTTTTCACATCTTCTAGAAGACCCAAAGTGCTTTACAGAATATACTGTAAAGTGAATTGACTGTATATTTGCGGGCGAACGCGGCAGCCAATTGCGCACAGCAATGTCCCACAAACAGTCGTGGATTGAAAATGACCAATTTTATTATTGTTTTTTGTTTTGGAGGGATTATTATTAGGCGTGTGGAGTAAGGAAACTTGCCCAAGGTTTCGCCCTGCCTGGAATTGAACCCAAGTCTCTCACTTGCAAAGCGAGTGCTCTAACCACTGAGCTACAGGACTCCTTATTTACAGTGAAAAATAAACCTAGGTCATTTGCTCGATCTCCTTATCATTGCTTTTTACAGAGAAAGAGGTAGACAGAGAGCAGTGGCACACAACAACGGAATGCATCAGTTTGGGCGATCAATAATTTCACACATCACACGATTGGTTTTAGCAAATAAATCATGTTACAACTAGGCTACTGGGATGCATTGAGGGTTATTCATTTATCTATCTATCCCCGAGGGAGGGAAACTGCTCTATGTGTGTGTGGGGGGATGGGTTGTAGGTAGCCAAACAAGATTTCTCCACCTTGTGGAGCAGTTGAGGTCTGTAGCAGAATATTGATAGGTGAGGATGGAGCTAAAATGGATGTTTGGACTCCAGTATTGCTTTGACTGTGTGCCTTTACTAACGAGGCAGATTTGATTTCCCCGCAGGTTGATAGAGCTCCTTCCTTTCGTGGCGATAAACTACTACTGGGGAGTGCTGAGTAAGTGCCTAACCTACAGCAAAGCCGCTTCTGACCCTTTCGTCTATTCACTGCTGCGGCAACAGTACAAGAAAGTCCTGGTCAACATTGTCAACAGGATGTTGAAAAAGGATTTATACCCTTCTTCTGGACACAACAGCTCATTGGATACTGAAAACGATTACTGTCTACAGAGAGCCACCTGAGGACACCTTTCCCCAGACTGGGATTTCTGTCAATGAACCCAAACTGAGACCACATGACTGACTACGTGCACTTTTGATCAGTGTTAAGGGATGGGGGTGGGAGAAATATGAGAGCCAAAGGCAAACATCTTTTTATTCTATATCAAATATTTTAAAAAGAAAGAATGTATTATTATTGTCAGAGTTTAGTCTTCAGTACATATTTGTATTCTCGCAGTTTTTTGTGCAAATTGTTATGATTATTGAGCTGAAGAGTCTTTGTATATTGGGAGAGTTTTTTTTTGTGTTGGCGTCATCTGCACTGTTATCACTGAAACCCTGTGAAAGGCTTTGTATAGACTACAGAGGCAATACCCCTCTTGAGAGGAGGGATGTAACTCGTTCGTGGTTTAGAGTATAATAGATCCTGTGGCAAAAAAAAAGTTTAAACTGTTTGTGATTCTGTAATAAAGAAATGTCAAAAACGCGAGTCGGAATGTTTGAGCTTTTAATGGTGTTCCCCATCCTGTATTACGCTAAAACAAAATCGTTGGGTTAGACTACAGTTTAGGGAAGAAAGCAAAAAAAAAATAACGTTGTGAGATTAATACTGTTTTTTCGTGGTTACATTTCGTGTGTGATCTTCGCTATGGAGAGCGATGCAACAATAAAAGTTTAATGAGATGACTGGACAGAGGCAAAGGACATGATTTCATTGATGCATCATCTTTATTAGGAGTGAATAATAATGTGTGTGTGTGTGGGGGGGGGAGTGGGTGGGGGGCAATGTGCACAATGTGATGTTGATCTGAACACTCACGTTTGGTGCTGTTCGGGTAGTAGTGAGTTATTGCGCTCTGAGTGTGTAACTCATTCCAAACTTTCGACAGTTTCCAAAACTTTTCGGGGAGGGGGTGGGGGGAGGAGGGGAGGCGGGGAGGGGGTGAGGGGGAGGAGGGGGGAGGGGGTGAGGGGAGGGGGAGGGGAGGGGGAGGAGGGAGGGGGAGGGGGGGGGGGGGGGGGCGACCGCGAATTCCGTGCAGTTTGGGATTTCGGGGCTGAACCTCCACGTGGCAATACGGTAATATGATATTCGGACGTGTTTCTCCTAAAATGTGCGCCGTTTTTCCTTTCGCAACTGAGCGCCGGTATAATAGGGACCTGCGGTGCAGCACCAGAGAGCGAGAGCGGAGCGGCACGAACCCGGAGCCATGGACCCGGTGGCGTTTCTCCTGCATTTGGTTCTCGTCACCGCAGCGCAGGGCGCCCCGCGCTGTGAGCCCGGGGACCGGGCGTTAGGTAAGCGGGAGCACAGCTCCGGTTGCGCGTTGCACTTTTAACACCGCAATATGCTGATGGACCCTGTGCCCGGACCCTCACTTAACGCCGGGACAGCCACAGGCAAAGGCTATCACACTGCATTAATTCCACACAAAGATGCTCGATACTCGGTGGAGACTTCCAGGTGTTTTGATACTGAGTATCTTCTCGTATCGCCCTCCACCCTCTCGGGGGTCTTCTCATCTGCGGTCGTTATAGATTGCATTTAAAAGTTTGCAAACTTTTATTTTGTTTTTTTTAAAAAAAAACCGCAAATGTATTGGGGGCAAAGCGATCTGAGATGCAAAGTGCCCGTTGTGTGGAGCGTAATGGATTTAGCAATATACCAAACTTTTTTTTTTGGGGGGGAAATAATAAAATAAATGTTGATGCATCATCCCTGTGGCTTCGTACGCAGACCGGGGGGTGAGTGAAAGTCCCCCCCCCACCCCCACCCCCCACCCCCACCCCCCCAAAAAAAAAGTGAAGTCGAGCGGCGAAAAAGTTCTATTCTGAGGTCAGATTTGGTGATTTGGGATCGCACTTCTGCTCAGGGCGGAGGGCTCCCAAAGGCAATCGCGTTACTTGAGGGAATCTGCTTAAGAAAAGCCATAGATGTTACCCACCAGGAGAGCAGAGTGTGTGTCTGTGTGTTGGGAAAAAAAAGCCCACGATTTATAAATCAAATGAGTCCCCTCTTGTCAGTGTGTGTGTGTGTGTGTGTGTACCCCCGAGTCAGCAGAGCTGCTCATACAGTGTTATCCACATCCCCTCTCCTGTGATCCTCCAGTCAGATGGATGGCAAACAATGTGGTGTTAACTGCTTAGACTCCAGCAGTTACCCCGACTCACACTCTGGAGTCCACAAGCCTTGGCTCTCACCAACCTGCGCCTAATGGTTTCCCGAATTAGGTAAACAGGATTTGTCCCTCCAGGGAGAGAGAGAGAGAGAGCGCATTCCATCCCAACAATCCATCTCTGGGATTTCCATGTGTAGGTGGGATGCGCGCGTGGAAATAATAATAATAATAATAATCCTCGCATTTGATATAGCGCTTTTCATGTCGGGAGGACGTCCCAAAGCGCTTCACAGAACACACTGTAAAGTGAATTGACTGTATATTTGTGGGCGAACGCGGCAGCCAATTGCGCACAGCAATGTCCCACAAACAGTCGTAGATTGAAAATGACCAATTTATTATTGTTTTTGGTTTTGGAGGGATTATTATTAGGCTCTGTGTGGAGTAAGGAAACTTGCCCGAGGTTTTGCCCTGACCTGCCAGAGATTGAACTCAGGTCTCTCACTTGCAAACCGAGTGCTCTAACCACTGAGCTACAGGACTCTCAGTTTGGTTTGGATATCTGGCTGATCAGAATCGAACTCCAGCCAGCCACATCCCCATACCAGGCAGCCCTTGCAATGTGGCCAGAACGGGCGGGTCTACACCCAATTGTGTGAGTTTTTTGTTGCTCTGCCAGTGAAAATGATGGCTTTAGGCAGGTGACTAACTTCTACATTTTTTATTTAAACCTGTAAAATGTTGTTGTCTCCTGCTCCCCTGAAGACCCTCTTCTCATACAGTTTCAAAAGCATTAAGCTAAATCAGCTACTCTGCTACCCTTTGCAGGTGACGCATAATATTGGGCCATTTTTGGGCAAGTATTTGATCGACTTTGGGCTACAAAATTATTTTAATTCCTGGCATGGCATTCCTCAGTACATCTGTTACTGGATACTCAGAGAGCTGCCCAAATAATAAAGTTCCCCCTGGGAATTGCTTCCAACTTCCCCACCTTCAAGATCTGTTTCGTCACGCGTTCATTTATTGATTTATTTTGCTGTTTCCAACGAACCTCTTAAACTATAATTGTCTTCCAAATAGAGGATTTAACGCGTTTGCAAAATAAGCAAGACTAAATAAGAATTGTAGTCTCTGTGGGTCAGTGTTACAATGGCACAATTAACTTAACAGTTGGTCTAAGGAAACAGTTGTTTACATGCCTACTAAACATACAATCGCATATTTGCTGAGGATCAACCATTCGGTGCAAATTATGTGCTTCACCTTTCAGCACTAGTTTCATGTTTCTCTTCTGTTCTGATCAAAGAGAATGAGTTAGATTTAAAGGAATGTAACAACAATGCCAGTGCACAATGTGTTCAAGTTAAACTGAAACACATACTCCTCTTAGATTCCTTTTGGATTTTGGAGGCTTTCATTCTGAAATGTAATGCAATTTTTAAATTGGCTCATTTACAGTTTCCATTTGCTAACAAACTAACAGTTGTCTCTGCTTCCACCTAGTGTCCCTTTGCAGTACACTTTTTTTAGGAAATCCAAGAAATAAATTAAATAAATGATTCCAGAAAGCACCAGCGTTCTGAACTTACACAATATACATAATAAAAAGAACTGTGGAATCGACCAAAGTAATTTTGAAATGTGTACATTACAAAAATGGGTACTGTCAGCATTCCATCTGGGGACATAATGTTAACATTCAGCCACTGCACGCCTTTGGCCAGCTGTGTTCTTCACCCAACAATCTGCTTTAACCATAAGCTTTAGGAGAGCACCCCCTTGTGACCCGATATATTTTTCTCCTGTTTCTCAGAGAGAAAAGCATGTTCTGTATAATTGAGTAATGGCTGGCATTATTCATCCTGAGGAAAGATGCTGCAGATAGGTTACTCTGCAGAATTTATGTTATTGAAGTACACAATGATCTGTAATGATTCATCTGTAATAATAATAATAATCCTTGCATTTGATATAGCGCTTTTCACGTCAGGAGGACGTCCCAAAGCGCTTCACAGAACACACTGTAAAGTGAATTGACTGTATATTTGTGGGCGAACGCGGCAGCCAATTGCACACAGCAATGTCCCACAAACAGTCGTAGATTGAAAATGACCAATTTATTATTGTTTTTGGTTTTGGAGGGATTATTAAGGGTTACAAGTGGTTACAGAGGTCAGGGGGGGAGGTTATCACAATAAGCAAACAGTGTAACATACTTTACAGATATCATTCAGATTTCAGTTGTACTCAGGGAAAGATGAAAATCACATGGGCACCATATGATAGTTAATTTATCCTTTGTAAGTACAGTTATATTTGATTCCAACTAACAAATCTAGGAGGCTCTACAGTGAATTTGTGTATGGAAGGATTATCTTGTTTGGCATCAATGAGTCATGATGACAGATACATACAAGTATAAAAATAGACAGCTTCTCAAGAGAGGTACAATGTGTGCTATTGCTACTGATAATGAAATAAATCAAACTTCAGCCTGGATTAGCAGACAGAAAACTAATGTAATGTCTTTTTAACTGACCTGGGAAGGAAAAGCATTAATTAACGACACCCAATCTTGCTGGACAGATTGCATTGGCTGTACAAAATTGGGCACTCTGGTATCCTTTGAAACTGAAAGTACAAATTAATGGTAAATTTGTGACATTTCATAACAGGTTTGAGAGATGAAATTTTGCAAATTTACCCCCATTATCACATTCATTGGATATACTTCAGTGCTCTCATGCCTGCCAAAATGACAGTAATTACCTTAGCAATAGTATGATAGTAATTACCCTGTAAAGTGTTTTGAGATGTTTTAGTGTTATAGGCAAATGCAAAGAATATTGTGTTTATTGTAATTATTATAAGTTACAGAAGAAGCCAGAATGACCAGTGTGCATGGCTGGTGCATGGCAAGTGCTCTGGGACGCTATCCTGGGTGAGGGTCTCTATATAAATGGAAGTTGTTGTTGTTATTGTAGTTAACCAGCCAATCATATATTGAACCTATCTACTCGTAGATTGACCACCAGATTGAAGAGTTATGTAGTTTATCAGTAGCAAGTGATGAACATGTGGCGTCAAATTTAATAGACAGTAATGGACTCAATGGGAGCTGCTTTACTTCTACCAGCTGAACTTCCTCAGCGTTAGTGATGAGTTAACCTGTATAGCAATACTGTATATTCAGAAAGCAGGTTGACTTTTTCTAGCTTGTGCAACCTGATCAGGAAGACTGGAACCAAATGCTGATGATTGTTTTTTCTTATGGAGTTTCTTTCATACAGATATTACGTCATGTGTAAGGGTAATCCCTCAACTAGTGAGTCTCTCAGGGAGGGATTGTGACTATTGTGACTAGAGATCTTCCACAGGGTAAAATTTGTTTCATCCAAACGTTGATCTTATGTAGCTGGAGGAATGGTACATCCAATGGCACAGTGACAGCATTTAAGTACAGTAAGCTTTTACAAAATAACTGAAATAATTCACCATCATCTTCAGCTTGGATACACAAAGGCTGTAATCAACTCCCAAAATACACTTTCGTAAATGTCCAAAGCAAATTTCTTACCCAGTCACCTCAGCCACGTAGTGTGTTGGGCCTTTCGGAAACGTAGTATTAGTTCTGTGAGTTTCTATCATTGTGTTAGTTCGGTTTATACTATTGTCTAGTTTATTATTAAGGTTCTTCAGTCGAAGAGAAGGGAGTTGCTCAATCTGTATTCACAAGAAATATAGTAATGGGGTTTTCTCTTTGGGAAAATTGATGTTTGTTGCAAAAAACACATGCTCACACACAAACAAAAACTTCTTGAATGCTTGTTGAGATAAGTGTCAAAGATGTTATGATGATACTCTGCCAATATTTATCTGAGAGCTATTTTCTTCTCATCTGTGTTGTTTTATGGTCTGGAGTCCGATATAACAGCTGTTTGGTATTATGCTTGTTGCAACACTTACATGTTATCCCAATAGGGTTTACATGAACTAAAATGACAGATTCTGTGTACTCACAAATTGGCACAGAGAATGAGCTCTCCTGTGTCTCATTGAATACCAGAGCAAGTGAGTCCTTGGACAAAAACATATATAATCTGCATTGCTTGTTTTCTGCTTGTACCATTCTAAATACAAGTGAACTAAAACTTCTTGAAAAATGCAAAGTGGCAA